ACCAAGAGTCCTACAGCAACTCTGAAGCAGCTGCAGGAATTTATGGCAAAGAGTGTTTATTGTGTGCATGTGAATCACAAATTCTCCACAAATGTGGCTTGTATTGGAGGGGTGCAAGAAAAAAAGCCACTCCTCAGGAAAGGCCACATGCAGTCATGACTGATATTTGACGTACGATGCACCTTGAAGATTCTGAGGTCAGATGAGAAATTTTATTATTTGGCCTCAACACCAAATGATATGTCTGACGGAAATCCAATACAGCTCACCATCCAAATAACAGCATTCCTACAGTAAAGCATGGAGGTGGTGATATCCTCTTATAAGGTTGTTTCTCTGCAGAAGGGACTGGAGCACTTGTCAGGATAGAAGGAAAAATGGATGGGGCAAAATACCCTCAAATTCTTGAGGAAAATCTGCTGCCCTCTGCCAGAAAGTTGTAAAGGGGAAGAAGGTTTACCTTCCAACACGACAGTGACCAAAAGCACACAGCAAAACTGAGCACACAGTGGTGTAAGGAGAAAAAGGTGAATGTGCTTGCATGGCCTAGTCAGAGCCCAGACTCAAACCCCACTGAAAATCTGTGGATTGACTTGAAGACTGCAGTCCACAAACGGTTACCATCAAATTTAAATTAACTTGAGCAGTTCTGCAAAGAACAGTGGGCAAATATTGCAATGCAATATATATATATAAATGAAATCAAATACATTGCCCAGCCCCAATCCTCAATATTCCATAAGTGTTTGTGTGTTTGCCTGTAAATATCCACACCAGGCACTGGATTCTCTTTATGAAGCACAGCTGGCTTGCTGAATATGATTTCTCCTCACAGCTCCAGCATTTCATATTTTTACCCATTGTCCATTTCCCTTTCATCATACTCTTCCCTTCACGGCCCTCCTTCGACCTCCTGCAATAGGGTTTAATTTGAACCTGGATGCATTCACACATCTGTGCGGCTGGAAGTCTGTAGATCTAGCCATCACTAACACAGGTTTTATTTACATTCAAGCACACAGAGAAATACCCTTTCACTTTCTGGGTGAGTGCCCTCACACACACACAAGCCTCATACCTCTTTGCTTCCCCGCAGTGGAAAGGCCGCCTATTTTTAGCCAGACGATGACTGGCAGCACAATCAGGAGGTTACAATTAAAGGAGTATATGAGATGGAGTCTGACACTTGCATTCTCATTTCATTACAATGGCATGCATTAGCATTATGGGTGCATGGTATGAACAACATCACAATATGAGTAATTTCATATATACTCTTAACATGATATCACGTAATTATTTTTGCAACAAAATTCAACCTAAAAAAGCATTTATATAATATATAAGCTTATAGCAATGTTTTTTTTTTTTTGATAATTAACTGAAATAAATACCTAAATTCAATTATTTTCTTGATTCCAAAAAAACAAACAAAAAAAACCCACATTTATTATTAATTGGGGATTGTTTACTATGGATGCACCGATATTTAAATTGTCTGATATGATAAATGACTAATAACCGTTAAATATTGTAATGGCTAATATTTTAAGTTCTATACTATTTTGTCTTAATAAATTAAAATAAAACACTAAAAACTGCAAGTGTATTTAAGAAACACTTTAATAACTAGTGTAATAATTTT